TATTTATTTTGCAACTAATTGGATACTTTTTTGAATAATTAACCTTTGTCCACTGCAATACATAGGTATCCCCTTAGAAAGGAGGTTTTGGCCTACTATACCACGCGGGCTAGAAGGGTTGGTATATATATTTATATATATATATATATATATTTATATTTGTGTCAACTTTTCGTTCTCTTTGCAGTGTTATTGTCCTGTGTAATTACGCATATGCTATACATACAGCTTTATATTTTCAAGGTTTATCGAAATCTTGATTACTGAAACATAATCTATTTCCAAATCTAGAACAGTAGACGATTTTTTTTAAATATATATCTTGGAGTGCTAAACTGCAATTTACGTAAATTTTCAAAGGCAAGATAGTGGTTTTATGTACGTTTAAATAGCTAACAAGTTTTTTCAAGTTACTCATCGCTCAGACATTTATTTCAAATCTAAATAAACGTCACTGTTATAAACTCGCTTTTTTATAAATCATTTTTTTTGTTTTAGTTTGCAAATGTTTCAGAGTTCCGATACTTTTATTGTGAGTTCTGATACTGAGAGTAAATATGTTCAGTTTGCAAAAAAGTGTAATTGTCGTAGTCTTTTAAAGTTCTGAAAAAAACTGACATAAAATTCTTTAATTTAAAATATATGGCGTAAAGTCAGTAGTGGGTCTTTGCCAATGTCGCTGACGTTGAGAGGTGAATGAAGAAAAAACAAGAGAAGAAGTGCGTATTGGACACAGGAGTAAAAAATTATTAGTGAACTGAAGATCTCTGCCATGGTTGGAGCATAGCGGTTAAAGTTGTGAAGTGAGATAAGTGGGAGCTGTAGGATTATTAAGAAGATTATAAAGGGTAGTTAAGGCCCGCAAGCCACGGCGCTGACGTATAGGTAACCATGACAGCTGGGATCGATAGGCAGACACATGGTCGTACTTGTGGAGGTTGAATATGAATCGAATGCAATAGTTGAGAAGTCGATCAAGTTAGTTGAGTAAATCTGCATTCAGGTCGAGGGGTCATCACCATAATCGATGTTTGGAAAGATCAAAGCCTGTACAAGCATTACCTTGGTAGAATGTACTGCACGGATGGCGGAGTGGTTTAAGCGGTCGCCACGCCGCTTCCTACTACGCCGAGTGTTGTGGGTTCAAACCCCACATGGGACGTCACTTTGTGTGATCCACAAATTGTTGTTCTGAGTCTGGGTGTTCTTTGTGTCCGTTTCATGTATGTTTGTAAAGTCCCCCGCGACACAGGATATATATTCCTAATGCGGGAGTTGTCTTTTTAAAAGAAAAAAAAAAAAAATGTGGAAGGAAATTCCTTAGCCGACACAGTAAGTCAAAAAGTCACTGGAACCTTGCTTTCAGTGACTTTTTGACTTACGTTCGCAACCAACAAGTGAGGCCGGAGTCGATCCATAGGCCAAGATCTTTAACAAATGAACTGATCAGTTTGTCGGATCCGTTGTATACGATCGCCGGCAGTTTTGATGTATCTAATCTGCTCATCATTCTAAGGCTACCTATGATTATGGACTGACACTTGCAGGGATTCACACATATACTGAAACGCGCAAACCAGGTTTTGATTGCCTCCACACTCCTCCAATCACGGTTAATATATCAATCAATAATATATTTACCTATATTTTATCTGTATTGATAGTCAGAATATAATTCTATAATAAACTTTGAGGAAATGTACTAAAATAAACAGATCAATAATCTACGCGCAAAACTAAATGTCAAATATGTACGAGTATATGTATATTATACATGCATATAACTAGAACAACATAAATCGTCACGCATTGTATATCAACGGATTAAAGTATAGGATTTTGTTCTAATCATGATAGATTAATGAGGATTCATTTTACGTCTGTGATTTACTGATAATAATTAAATATACGGGGTAAGAATATTTTTACAAAACTATTTTAGAGATATTTATTTTTTTAAAGCAACAAAACTAATGCAAATGTCATTTGTGTCACTTGTCACTAAATGAAATTTCACAAGCTCTTAATGTTTCTCCGACATGAAACCTATTACAAGCTCCTATGATACCAGGAAGACGTTATACTTACTACACCACGCAGGACCGGTTAAAATTTTCTTACGAAAATATTTCGGGTCCAGCCCGTAAACCTGATCGATGAGCAATGGGTACAGTGTCTGTTAGATGCCATGAGAACGAAAAGCTCTATAGAAAATTATTTAGCATAGGAAAGTTTTGCTGTATCTGAATTTATTCAGGGTCAGTACACGGTTGACATATATTTTCATTAGTTAACTTCATCAACCTTGATCGGATCGTGAACTATGAGGAAGAATATTTCCACAAATCATTAGTATAAAGAGGGAAAATATTTTATGTAGGTACATCGAAAGAGATAAAACACAGGTGCAATAATGTATTCTGGTAAATGTTTATGTCCAAAGTAATAAAAATGATAAATTCTTTAACGGCTTTAGTAAAACACTTTACAAGATAAGCCGTTACCTATGACAATATACTAATTATAATATTTTTAGGTACGTTGAATAATTTATATGTGAATAAAATTATATAGTTGACGTTATCACTGACTTTAGTTACAAATAGTGACATAGATTGATTTCTAGTTGCAAAATTAGAACACCTGAATATAGTACTGATAACAAAAAGTATTGTTTAATATGTTTTTATAATAAGTAAAGTTAGCATGGACTTATAATTTTAATAAGTATTTTACGAAAAAATAAGTTTTGTAGGGAAACAAAGCCTAGGTTATTCCTTTAGAGTTAATTGTCATAATTACAATTTTATACTGTGATATATATTGTACTTCTAGAACTAGTTTACAGTTACAATTACAGCTCGACCGGAGTGATACCACGGCCTCACAGAAAACCGGTGTTAAGCAATTCTTTCGTTGCCTTTCGCTGAGTGAGTGAGGTTATCGGAGCCCGAATCCGCTGACTCGAGCGGGAGGGACTCCAAGGGCAGCAACGCACTTGTGACTTTTGAGTTGCAGGTGTCCATGGGCAGCTTGTCCCGTCCCGTCTGCCCGTCTGCTCGCTTGCCCCCCTTACACCATAAAAACAAAAAAGTTTACAGGATTTCAAATCTCAGAAACTTTTTAAGTCTTTTTTTTTTTTGTTAGTAGTAGTAAAGCTTCAATGTATTTAGGCCACTAAGCCTAGATGGAAGTACGAGATATTCTAACCATTGCAAAGAACCAAATAAATTGTATTAGCAACACTTTTCGTTATCTATCACGTAGAAATTATCATGTATCACCATAAATAATTATGCAATTTAGTTTTTTTTGATAACTCATTTAAGACGGTCTTGCCTGGGAAATACGTGTAGTTGTTATATATATAAAACCCTACAAACCGAATGTTCATGAAATCTACAGAAATTACATTTACAAGAAATGATCTGTACATCTCCAAACGGTCCTTAGGATTTTTCAGGACCTTAAAGCAATTGTATTTATTTGTTTCTAAGGGTCCACATCGGCACCGTGGTGTATCGACGAAAATGGGAAGAAAATGGCCAAAAGACAATGGATAAAAGACAACGGACGTTTAGTAATCATGATCTTTTAGCAGCATGTTGGAACATTTTGCGTCCGAATTCTAATTTTCACCAATTGTATGAGTCTGAGTGAGTAAATTAATGAAGCGTTGCTCACTTTCCCAAAGAAATAGCGATTTATGCAAATATGAAAGTCCTACTGTACATTTTTTTTTTCCGTGCGGAAATCCCCTCGGATACCACCTATCGGTGGCATGTCGGACACGAACCGACTAAAACCGCACGCCGTCTAGGGTACTAATAGCCGGGGAACCAGGTATACCCTAGAAAGGAAGTCCCTGGTACCTGGTTTTTAAGTGTGCGCTACTGTGAGTATAAAGCGCTAGCTATCTAGGAACTTTGTTGAGTTATCTCATTAATAAACAAACCGGACAAGTGCGACTCAGAAATGCACATAAATTACCTAACCGATGTCATTTTACGGTATAACAAAAAAAAATTTAATCTTCCACTGTCACTTAGATTTTATCATTACATAATATCAAAATGAATGATTAATCATTTTCATTAAGCTTATCATCGTTTTATATACTTTATATAATCCAAAGACTCAAAATGATTACTACTTAATTAATATTTTAAGTATATCATGATAAATCACTACGTTGTTAAACCAAAACAACCATTTCATTGTTACGACGATAATGTGTTAAAAAAAATTAATTGTTTGTAAATATATAGAATATATTTACCATGTTCTTATTTCTATATGAACTCAAAATTCATTTAAAAAGGCAAGCCCCTTCTTGCCTTTACTGTTTTTGTACTACCTATTACCGTTTTTTTTATTTCGCCTTTCGCTTTTGTTATTTAATTATTATAGTCGAGGATATTGACTCGCACTATTTTCTAGTGTAATTAAGAAAAGAAAGAATGTGACGAACGTTTATATCACTACAATTTTGCCCATAACCTCTACCCACCGCCGAAGCCCCGAGGCAAGTTTATTGCAAACAGTACATAATTTTAGATTTTATTAATTTATATTTTATTAGATTATATTAACACAGACAAATCTACGGAGAAATTACTAAAATTTTTAGCAATGTGTATAATTTTAATTTTAGAGTCTCTTGAATTATTTTTCTTACAAAATTCTGTAAACGAAAAAACAAAGTTCTGTCTGTTTATATGAATAAGAAACTAATTGCATTTTATTTTAGTAAGTGTAGATGATAAGGGAAAGATCTCAAATGTGTTGCGGTTTCCCTTCACTATACTCGAGACGCGCGGGGTCGCCTCCCTACGATTCACTGGTCGCCATCTTGATCGGTCGGTCGGTTTTGCTTGTTGGCACGCGTGGTGTGCGCTATGCACTCTAATATAAATTGTAAGTTACTTTACAATTAACCAATATGTAACAGACACTAATGTACAAATTCATTACATAATGTAAGGCATACATCTACTTACACTTCTTTCAAGATCGGCTGCGTAGTTAACGTATCTAGGGGGCCGTTTTCTCGCTGCACGCGCGGCTGTGGCAGTCAAGCGATTCCCGGAGACGGGGCCAGGCTGTGACATCGTACGTCTTCGTTCCGGCACTTCCAAAGTGTTGGTGTTGCTAATGGAGTCATTTTGTACCTGTAAAAACACAATTTAATGAATTGCCGCGCACATTTACATTGTACTATACCGCAATTTTCCTGAAATCTAAGAATTATTTATAATGTTTTTATCACACTATTCAACTTGAAACTTTGTTTAATTTAATTAACAACTAAAATAAATCCACTTAATTAAATTTGCAACTAGCTTAAATGAATCAGATTGGCTGCATTTATGGTTTCGGCTAACGCTGACGCTTTTTATATGAATGATCTTATTTGAACATATTTTGCGATAAAACACTAACAGATTTCTACGCGTAGCTTTGAAATGAAGCATCTTTACCAAATGTGCTTTTTGTTTAATTTAAGTTTACTAGTACCGGCATTTGCCGGCACTGGTTACGTAACTAAAAAAACACATATCAATTTAAAACCATTGTTTAATAAACATACAATTAAAAAAGAAAGTGACATACATAGACGTAAAAATTAATGGTATTCTTAATACCAAGAAGTTCCAATTTCGAAAAAATTGTTATTGTGATGTGGTAATGACGTAAAGACCATCAGAGTAGTTTTACGTACTACTACTGTGTAGCAGGCCAGGCGTGTATGTCGGGATAATATGACTTTCTAATAGTAACAATTTTCAAAATTGGAGTAGATTACCCCAAACATACAAACTCACAAACTTTACATGTTAATAATATTAGTATAGATATAGATTTTGTCTAATTGTTAGATTATTCTTATATCTTATATCGGATACAGAAAGCTAGTCAGGCAAAAAATTCATTCAGAAAAAAAGAACCCACTGTTCCCGATGCATACCTCGACTAATTGACGAAATCTAAGCAAAAACGAGCAAAGCTGCAGGCCCTAGCTAGATTTATTATATATCAGGAACCATATAAGTTTCCCTTATTTTTATTTGATATACACCGGATATCAGCAGTTATCTACGAGTACATGCGTCAATCGGTAGTAGAAGTCGTCATTTCATTATAACTTGCAAACTTTTTAAAGAAGTGATTCCAAATGTACCCAATGTCAATATCTTGTCTGATAATGTGACAAATTGTTGTGATTATCATGTTTTATATGTATGATTAATTTGCAAAATACCATACCATCATACCAATACAATGCGACTAAAGGTGTTATATTACCTACAACTTTTTGACACTGTGCGCAGTTTAAATCTTATTCAGGTCTCTAACTATTTGTATTTTAATTTCCATGTAACATAATTATTTTCAGAAATCTTGGCATCATTTAGTTATCAAAAAAATAAACTCCAATATTGCGTTATGTATTTAGTAGATAAAAAATCTGCTTTTACAGTACGGTTATACTTATATATTTTAAAACTAATTCAAAATAGTTATGTAAGCTATGTTGTAATCTTCTTATTAGTACATATTACATTCTTACTAGTCCTTACTTAATGTAATCTTACTAATCTTCTTAATGGCCTTTTCTCAAATTTATTTATTTATCACTGCTTACTTCCTTTCTAGCCAAATCGTGTTTTATAAAATCAATCCATCTTTTCTTTGGTTATCCTCTAATTTTGAGTTCGTGAACTTCGTACATAATACTTTCTTCACTATTTTGCTCCCCAACTTTTCATTCACTGTCGCGATTTTCAGGCTCCTAAAGTATTCATTTTTCATCTTGCCCATCCTAGTCGCACAACTGTGCACTTTTTATGGAATTTATTGCCTTGTGCAACCAACCTATGGAACAAATTGTCGCCTGCGGTATTTCCGAACCGATCCGACTATCAAGTCTAAGAAAAGAGCGTACTTCCACCGCAAAAGGCGCCATCGTGCTTGTGACCTATTGCAGGTATCACTTAATACCAGGTGACACGCTCGTTTGCCACCTAAACGGTAAAAGAAATACACATCCATCTTAAAATATATAATTCAGTTACATGCAGGCATTTCTCAGATGTTCTGTTTTTTAAATAGCGTTCAGATTTATGTAGAAAGGCCCGTTTGATACTTGTTTTAAATGTTTCCTATATTTTTTCTGTTAGCTGCCGCCATTTTATCTACCCTGTGTTGAATCGACATTGTACAGACCGGTCGATTGCCATTATTTTGTAAGAGCCATTGGTCAAATCGATGTAGGCTAGATTCACTGCTATATTCAATGAAGGTTGCAAGACTGCAGAGACAACCGAAATCTCAGAATATGTATTCCGTTTTCGTCCTGCTATTTTTAAATAATCTTTGTTGGCATTTTTCGGTGGTTATAAGTAGGTAGTAGTAGCAGCACTTTGTTGGTCCGTCTGTCGGTTAAGAATCTTTATCTCGAGAACGCGTGGAGGTATCGAGTTGCAATTAAAATCATATACTTAGGTTTACATTCCCTTGAAGATGTAAAAAAAAAATCAAACTTCTAAGTTAACGTAAAAAAATATACGCCCGTTTATGCACAAAAAACGTATTTTTTTTAAATCTCAGGGGAATTAAAATTTATAGGGTACTTCCCGCTGCCCTAGAAGTATGACATTTGGCAAGCAACATCGTCTTATACTACAAGTACAGGGGAAAATCTATATATTTGTCATTCAAAACTACGAGACTCGATTCCTGAACTATTCATAATATGTACCTACAAATCTGTACGGAATCCTCGGTGGGCGAGTCTGACTCGCACTTGTCCAGAGTTTTTAAGTATATTCTTACTATCTCATTTATTTATTTTTCTTTTAACAAAAACAATATTTTTATTTTAAACTACAACATAATATCCTTCATACTTATTTTCAACGTGTTGAATATTTATGAGGGATAGAAATAATACGGACGAATTGGGTTACAAATGATTGCACAACTGAGTCAAAGTAACATTTTGTGGTATCTGTTTGGAGAATATATTTGGTGTCATATTTGAAATCTAAGTAAATGTAAAACAATATTAGTTCTACGACCATTAACAATAAACGTCGTTAACTATGCTATTAGATTCACAAGAGACCCAAACTATATAGTTTGAGGGCTTGTACTTTTCGGCATCAATCAGTATGAGTAATGCGATCCTGACCTGCTCCACTTAATACTTTTACTTCCTAATCCATTCGAATAAGCAATAGTCCTTGTCTAACATTAGGTATCTTGCCTTTGTTCCTACTATCCCTTTCATTGCACTACTAATTTTCTCATTCCCCCTTATTCTAAGATGTTCGTTTGACGGTGATAGGCTTGCCTCTGTTCCGTAAGTGGAACTAAAGTTATGATTAGCGAATGGGGGCGTTTCACCCCCTTTTTATTACCCTAGGTAAACAAAATATTTTCTACACACCTCTGTCTATTCCTTCTGGGATATAAACCTGAGTGTGTGCCATATTATGTATGTTACCCAAGTTGAACTTAAACCTGAATTTTCTAGGACAATAGAATGGATTAAACAATATTTGGAATAGTAAGTTCTTAATGTTCTAATCTTGTTTTTGCCTTGAGGAAGACAAATATTTTTTTTAGCATATTAGTGTTGATTTTTAAATAATTGTAGGTAACGTTGGTACTCACCGCTGGATCTGTTGGCACTACATCCGCTGGTTCATCCTCACCATACTTTTGCAACGATGTTTCTGAATGGAATTTCTTATCACCCAATTTACCTCTATTCATTATTTCATCTAAAACTTCATTTTTAGCTGCCGCTGTGTCCGTCATTTTGTCTCACAATTATTTGTGTCAAAGTTTTATTTAATTTAAAAAGTTTATAAAAACTACGACAAAGACATGTTTGTTTGTACACTTTGATTATACGTTTTGATTACAAATGAGCTATTATGAAAAATGTGATCGTTTTGTGTTATCTGTCTTTCGATAAAAATGTTGTGATATTATTTATAATCAGCGACGTTGACGAGTTGTATTTGCTTCCTACTAGTTAATTGTTGGTACAATTCATCAAGAGTTAACTATTTGTATATTGGCTTCGTTATTACTGATACGGCAATAGAGACAAACTTTTATCTGAGGTTTTTGATTTTTTGATAAAACTCCAAATCCGTTTTAGTATATGTATTTAATACTAAGTACAGTCACTCTCAAAAAGAAATAATTATACGTAAAGAAAGTTCTATACAACTTAAACGATTAAACGTGTAGTACAGTAACATACAATATTTTGTTGTAGTAATGAAACGGCCAAGCCACATATTTTGACTAAGGTGTAGAGATTGTGAAGTTAGGGCCTGTAGTTAGAAGTTTGGCTCTCTGATAATTTTTTGACCGGCGAGCTATATAGTCTCGTCTTGGCAACATTTTACATGAAAATGTTTTTGGTGAGACCACTTCTTTTTGGATTGTTTATGACACGGGGGTCAGGGGGAGCCTTTTTTCCCGAACTAGGTTGAGGTCGACTTAAAGTCTACTACGATACGTCTGAACCTCGATTTTTTACTAGGAGCAGTCATGGCATGGCAGTCATCAGACCTCCACAACCCCAGTCCTAGGCGATATCGAAGTTCTGTAGAAAGACTGTTCTCAGATTTTTTAGCGCTCCAACTGCCCAAAACTACTACTACTACTTTTAAACATAAACTTAAGAATTAATAAAAGTCACAAGGAGTCAGGCCTGGACTGCAAGGAGGACTCATTAGCTCCACACCTACGTTACACAATATTCGATAGTCCGTCTGGCGGAGTAAGCTGGAGCATTGTCGTGGTGGATGCTGCTTTTCTTACTAGCCTATTCTGAAAAAAAAAAGAAAAAAACTTTTCAGTGTGACCCACGTATATTTTTTTTGTTAATTTTGTCTTTCTTTTTTTAGTGATTTACTTCTTGCACATCAGATTAATTAAGTCATTCATTAATTTCAGACCATAGTGATGCAGTCCATAGTGTTAGTGTATTAGTAACTAGTAACAGGCATTAATGCTAATTAGATTAAATTTAATTGCGAATTCTTATGTCTTAGCATTTTAATTGCTAATGCTGATATTATTTGCTAATATTGCAATTTCCTACGATGAGAGCAAATGAACAAAAATTTTGTAACTTGGATGTATATCACTAAGTACTAATTTTAAATAAATAACGTATTTTAAATATAGTTTAACTGACCGCTATTTTCGCTATCAAAAGTAGCTGCTTTTTTATTTTCTCCAACATTATTACAGAAATAATGTAATATAGGGTTGGTTCGCGATATGCTAACCTTCGTCACTTAACACTATCTATTTACAAAAAAAAACCTATTTATTCCCAAAATACCTATTTACAATGCACACGTCACACTTCAAAACTTAAATTACCCATACCTACTTTAAACTTCTTATTAACAAATACTATATAGGTACCAATTCTATAAACAACTTTAAACAATTTAACAAAACAATACGAGAAAACAAAATCATTCAAAACAATACCTAATCTCCCGGCCACTTGCTAATGCTAAGTCGTAAGCATGGGACAAAATCACAATCACCTGCGATTAATCATATGAATTTAAAATAATTACATCTCATCGGTGACTCATCTTCAACATCACTGCGACTAATTATTATTATTTTATTATGACGCCAGCACCAGACAAGCGAAAGGTCTAAATCTAAAAAGATACCGTTTTATTGATTTTGATGGCATCTTTGTCTATGACCAAATCTAAGCAGTGATTTATCACAGGTGAAATCACAGTGACCAAATTTACGCGAAGACCAAATTTATTAAATTAAATTTAGTCTTCGCGTTGATGCGAATGAGAAAGAACGCGCTGTGTGAAAGTGGAGCATTGACGAATGAAGCGACGAAATGTTGTGTACGAATCAATTCATAGGTTCACGAAATTTTTACAGTACAATTAATTTGGTAACTGCTAATTAAGAATTCACAATTAAAAATGAATTGTTCCATCACTATTAGCAACAATTTGCTTATGATTAAGTTAGTATCATTACATCATATTTATTTTATATCATACCTAAAACTGCCCTTACCCAGTATTTTGAATAGGGCAGTCGAACCTTGCAGCAATGACTTATAGAATGCCGTTGTTGGCGTTCTGTTAGTCATTGCTTCATTCATTCATTCATTTTAAGACATTTAGATTTTAAAAACATTGTTTTAAGTCTATAGACAATGATGGTAATCAATGATACAAAATAGATCTAGTTGATGATTGCACCTGATAACCCATATGAAAAGCAATAACAAATTATGATTCACTTGAGGTAAATACCCGACTTATTTCAAGGAGATTTAATATTACTTTATAGACTAAAGTAAAATGCAAATGATTTTTATAACAGCTATTACGAGTAGTAACTGCTATCTTAAATAAAAGTTCGTATTAATATACACGCACATAATAAAAGCACATAGGCCTCTCTTTGAACCTGTGCTATTTCTTCGTATAATATAAGTTCTAATGGGGTGCGGTGCTTTACGGTATTATGGATACGGACTACATTTTTATTTTGTGTTGTTATGAGCATAATTTAGAAATTTGTAGAATTAAATAATCTGGAAAAGTTAAAAAAAAACATTTATTGGATAAGGTCGGTCTTAGCCAGTAGAGGAGCCCGTCGAAAATATAACTCAACATTCGCTGCGAAAGTCAGCGAATATATACAATATATAATAGCGAACATAGTTGTATGATACGGCAGTATGATAAGTACAAGTGAGTTTGATTTCATATTGATACGGCAGTGTACCATAACACAGCCAAATTAGTTTTTTGAGATTAACATTAGGCATATTGGGCCTCTTACTGGGAGGCCACTTACAGCATGCTGATTTCGTTACAACACCGTGTTAAAAAAACACTCCAATTCGACAGTGATAGAGGAATTCTTGCTAAAAACGAACATTCAAACTTTATTTGTATGACTATATTATTTGCAGTAAGAAACTGAAATATAATGTTATAAGCAAAAACATGTTTCTGTTTTCAAAATGTTTGTAAAACAGTTTGAACTTTTACAAAATTTGTGTATGTTTTGCTTGCTTTTTTTCTTGAATCCAGCATTCCAAATATTAAAAAAATAATCACTTTTCTACATGATATAACCTAATACACAGCTGCATAAACAGTAATTCATAATTTGGTAAATAATAATATTTCGGACTTCCACACTCTTTCACACATCGCCATCTATTTTCAAACTAAGCAGAGCTTGTTTTATGAAAGTAACATTGACTAATAGAATACTTAAATCCATTTTTTTGTAAATGCATACATATTATACATAGAAACACACAAACTCCGAAACAAATATCTGCAGATCGTACAAACATTTTGTCTGACCCAGGAATCTAACCCTCTCAGCGCAGTAGTCGCATACGCCACCACTGCACCACCGAGTAGTAAATAAAAGTAAACGAGAAATAATAGTAAGACACAAAAGGATTATAGACAGAGAACGATATTGTTTAATCTAGTGAAGCTGTACATTCAGGAGCAAACTAAGAATTGCTTTAATATATTTTAGATAATAGTTATAATAAATTAGAACATAATACTCCATAATTATTTATTTATTTAAAAAGTACAAAGTGTACAAACGAGCATGTTACGAAAAATAGAAAGACTTCTAAAAGAAATATGGCCAAATCTCAATGTATCTCAATGTAGATGGACTGTAGGTTATTATGAGAAATAAATTCACTAAACCTAATATAAAATTAATCAAATTAAGATGAGCCTCCTTTCGTCATTGAATGATTTAAAGGTATCATCAAAAAATGCTTCCATTTAAGTGAAATCGGTAAAGAAATAACAAAATCAAAAGATTAATAAAGTATTTAATAGATTCACTACAAATAAATATTCTATAAACTCATATTAATGGACATACATAATTCGGCACATATTGTAACCTGCATTTCTCGTCATAGTTAGGCTATACGAGTATATGCAATTGATGTATTACTCGTTCATAAGTTTGCTCAACACTTGTTTAAGTTCAAGAGTGAACTGTGAGACTGGCAGCGCCAATTCTTGAACTGATGTTTTGTCTCCAATTAAGATGTCTGAAGGTATTATAAACTGCGACTTTTTAGCACTCGTGGCACGTAAACTCTTTAAATAAGGAGGCATTGGCAGTTGCGGACGTTTCTCCAGCCAATCATGAAAGGCTTTGGTTGATCTGCAATAGTCGTGTAAATTTTAGTATTCGGTTGATTACAATATATGTGTGTATATGTGTAATTGTATATGTCAGTTAAAACTATATAACTACTATTACAACTGTAACCTCAGTCCACCTACCTCACCAGATTTCTGCACCACCCAAAGGTTGGCTGGTAGAGAGTGCCTTTGGATATATTTTAAAGGTAAGTAGGCGTTTAAATATAGTAGTAGTAGGTGACTTTACTAATCTTGTCAGTAATGTGATTAAAATCAAGTTTATCCCTACTAATATTATAAATGCGGAAGTAACTTTGTAGGTAATAGGCTACTTTTTACTGCGAAAACCGACATACACGCGGGCGGATCACGGGCAAAAGATAGCATTCTATAAATTGTAAAAATGTAATACTTCTCAAAACTTACGTGAGATGTTCTATTTCGTGCCATACACACGACATACTACTCAAGTCCTCTGGTATTTGCACACAATCCCACAATTGCTTAGTATTATTCCTAGGAGGGACGTGTTTCTTCCTCTGTGGCAAGCTAGTACCAAATGCCATTGTATGTGCAGGGCTCGTCTCAGCATGAATGTCAAAAGCCAATTGCCGCTTAAGAGCATTCGGACATGAAGCCTGTATTGAGATATTAATAACATAGTGTGAAAAATCATCCTTATAATTATTATTAAGCCAAGCCATTAATAAGCTAGACTCTAGCTTATGACAATAACATTTTACAACATTAACTTTTTATACATTCAACCCTAAATTTAAGTCAAACAATTAATACTTAAAAAAAAAGGATAATGCGTCGTATAGATGCATATTTATTGATGTAATTGTTTTATAATGTTGTTTTTGTAATTCGGATCTGATATAAACACAAGGATCTTGTGGATACTTTACCTTTTTCGTCATTGTGAAATCAGCAATTTGCTTGAGCACACAAGGAAGGATTTTTGGATGGAGCACAAGGCCACGGGAGGCGTGCTCGTCAAACCAAACCTGAAATTTCGTAATAGAAAAATATACACTAACCAATGGTACTAAAATATAAAAAAAGTATTGACAATGCAACTTTAAGAGCAAATTTACATACGAGCTGCGGTAAAAGTAGTAAAGAGAGATTAAATTTAAAATCAAATAACTTTTAGATGCTCTATTTGAAAACATGGAAAGTTTTACTATAATCCGATGAGTGAGTAACAAGTCTAGTGAAACTGTGGAGGAACGGGTGTCATGTCCCTCCAACACAAAGGAAGGATCCTCCGACCAGGCGAGGTGATCATGCCTGGCGGGCCGCGGCCCAACGGTTGATGTTGGGATATTGTATATATGCTAATCGGCGAGGGAATTCTTTATATCGCGATACAGGATTAGCAATTCTTATTTTTTAGTAGTTACTCCGTAGTTCGGTGTGTTCATTAGATGGCGCTGTAGTATGTTTATGTGTCGAGTCGCCACATCACTCCCCTCCAAGACCGGAGGTCGATATATCATGAGTCAGCTGTCTATGCTTTGTTGTGGAGCGTGCCAGTGCCAGTAGTGAGTAGTTCCAGTGAGTCGGAGCTGAGTGCCGCTAGTTCCAGTGAGTCGGAACTGAGTGCCGCTAGCCCCAGTGAGTCGGGGCTGAAGTCCGCTGATCCCAGTGAGTCGGGATAGCGTGCGGTGCGCTGTGCTGCGGTGAAGTCCCCAGTGAGTCGGGGCGGTTGCTGCGTAGTGGCCGGCTGCTGCGTAGACGGGAGAGAAAATGCTCTTCTTACGTGGACCGTAGGTGCAGTGTGCTATGCCTAGACGCTGATGAGGCCGTAGAGGTAACCAGGCTGGAGCGGTCGCTACCTGCGTGTGGTATCCCTGTAGAGGCCGAGGTTACTGGCTGGCTGAGACTTGATTACTGCTCATCGCTGCGGGAGTGTACACGATGGTGCTGCTGATGATCTGCTCCTTTTGAAGGCTGCTTCCAATCACGTCGGGGCACCACTGTGGAGGAACGGGTGTCATGTCCCTCCAACACAAAGGAAGGATCCTCCGACCAGGCGAGGTGATCATGCCTGGCGGGCCGCGGCCCAACGGTTGATGTTGGGATATTGTATATATGCTAATCGGCGAGGGAATTCTTTATATCGCGATACAGGATTAGCAATTCTTATTTTTTAGTAGTTACTCCGTAGTTCGGTGTGTTCATTAGATGGCGCTGTAGTATGTTTATGTGTCGAGTCGCCACAAAACTTTTAAAGAAAGAAGACCTAGAGAAAGACTGCAGATCAACTAAAACAGACCCTAAATTTGTTTTTATAATCTAACTTTAATTGTAATATTACTAGAAATACAGGGGATATTAGACATCTATGACGTAATGCAGCAGTTGAATAGTCTTGCCTTGTTCATAAGAGATAAATGCAAACTTCAAATCCAGGTAAATGAATATCAGACTTCTGATATTATACTTCAGCGCTGAAGTAATATCAGCTACATTGATAGAAAATATAACAGAAATGTTGTAGAAAGTATATAAACTATTATTATGCTTCTATACTTTATTAGTAAATGTGGGAATTTATTGTTTAAAAAATTCAGCATGTTCTTACGGTTAGAATATGGAATTACCTGAAATAGAGCTTCAATATCTTCAGGTCTTTTGATTTCACTCTTAAATTCCACATTACCCAAACCGCTCCACCAATCGTAGAATTCTTTAGCTATCTAGAAAAGAAATTTAAGGAAAATTATATTGTTTACTGTACGAGTATCTGTGTCTGCTATTTTCCGTAATGTGAACCAGTGCAGAAGTCGTGTTGTGACTCAAGAGCTAGATTTGAAAAGTGAACCTCTTCAAATCTGACTCTTGAGAATTTTTTAGGAATTAGTTCAGAATTCTAAGGGAAGAAGTTTTATAATTGTCAACGGATAAGGAGTTCGAAGACCTTGGATAGAAAAGATAAAACAGTAGACCGAAAATGAACAGGGTTAAAGTTTTGGGTACCAAGTGATTCAGCCCGACTCTAAATATTCTTAGAAATTTCCATACTTTCGCCCGATCTCCGTTTTCTACGGCAACGTAGACATCTAGTTGTGGAGATTATGAAGGTAGGAGGTAGGGAGTGCAATTAGGACACTGATGCGTCACATTAAGTGTTACTTACTACACTGCGTTCCGAATGGGGGCGACAGTCATTTTTTAATAAACAATTATTGAAGTTGCCCAGTATTATTGTTTGACCATAAGGAGAAGTAAGATTCGGAAGAAGAAGGTGAAGACAATATATTATCGTATATATATAACTACACTACTCTCAACCACTTACACATAATAATTCCTTATGTGGTTGAAACCCGGAAGATTATATGAAATGGATGGTGAACTCACAATTAAAGCTCTGGTTCAAAGCAAAAGTGTCATGACCTCATGACAGTTTTCCCATTTCAGAAACGATTTACCATGGGAGGGCCATGCTACTATACATATGGGCCGATTCGACGGGAGTGCAAGACCTTACAGAAAACGGGTGTTAAGCAAAACTTCTCTTTATTTTCACCGGGTGAATGAGGTTAGCGGATGGGCCCCCCCTCTCTCTCTTTCGTCGTATTTCTGGGGCGATGCACTCAAAAGGCGGCAAAACATATGTCTCTCTTTAGTTGCAGGTCTTCATGGGCGGCGGCAGTAACTTTTCAAGTGACCTGTCTGCTCGGTTTCCCGTTGTACCATGAATAAAAACAGTTAAAGCACTTGAATCAATATTCATAACCCGTGTAAAATGTCAAACACCGTTCATAGACTTCATCATTATTTTAATCTTAGATACTCGTAATTAATTAAAAACAATTCTAACAGATTTTACACATATGTACTCCACACGCTTATCAATGTTTACGTGATAAGTGATACAATCACTAGGTATGGCACACAACAGAGTCCTGACTACTGTTACTGTTATGACTACCAGTGTTTACAGGAACTGGTTATCAGGTAAAAAAAGAAAAAACTAAAACCAATCTAACGCTATTAGATCGGTGATACGGTATTTTTAGGCAAACTCTACTCTCTCACCTTTTTTGTCAGAAGTTCCGCTCTTTTGCTAAACTCATCAGAAGCAGATACTTCAAATGTCTTCTTTTTGTAATGGGAGTCCCATTTGATCATATCAGTTTCTGATTCAGTGCAGTATAACATGTCAAAATGTGGGTTTTCTTTTGGTTTCACATAAGTATATCTGTAAAATGTAATCCCAAAATCTATGAGCATTAAAAACAAAATTACCTTTAGTACCTACTCCACTTCATTCTCTTTAGTATTTACAACTTGCACCATCAATAAAAATGTACCTATATACACGGCTATGTAACATTTAAATTTATGTACATATGAGATAACTGACTGCCTCGTTGGTGTAGTAGGTAGCGTATGCGACTGCTGTGCTGAGGTTTTGGGTTCGATTCAAAGGTCAGACCAAATGTTTGTATGATCTGCAAATATTTGTTTCGAAGTTTGGGTGTTTTCTATGTATAATATGTACACATTTACAAAAAAAATAGTATATATATAAGTATTCTACCAATCAATCTAGCTTTAATAGTACAAGCATAGTACAGTACAAGCAAGCTGCTTAGTTTGAAACTAGCTGGCATTGTGTGTTAGATGTCCCAAATATTTATTCCTATATATTTAATAAATACAAACAAATATACAATATTAATATAATAAAACTGATATTTTTTTGCTTAATAAACAAAGGTTTCGACTATGTAATACGGTTACGGCTGACTGGCTTGTTGCTCTAGCGGTTCGTGACACTGACGGCTAAGCTGGAGGTCGTGGGTTCGATTCCCACTCAGGACAAATCATTGTGTGATGAGCACAATGATTTGTTGTGTGTCAGGGTGTAATTTATCTATTTATATAACTATTTAGAAATATATAAGTATGTTTATCAGCAGTCTGGTTACCATAGCACAGGCTCTGCCTAATTTGCAATCAGACGGCTGTGTGTGAGATATGTTTCGCTATTATTACATTATTATGTAACAGCATGCTACGATCATTAGGAGTTTCGGGGACTTTCTAGGGTATACCTGGTTCCCCGGCTATTAGTACCCGAGATGGAGTGCGGTTTTAGCCGGTTCGAGTCCGACATGCCACCGATAGATGGTATCCGAGGGGATTTCCGCACGGAAAAAAAAAGGAGGAGCCGGGGAACGGCTAGTAAAAAATAACGGATGTTTGTTTACTTGGGGATCACAGTAAAATGCACTTCCAAATCGTCTGCAGACCCAACTGGTGACTCCGGGGTAGATAAAACAGAAGACTTCTCACTCTTGAGTTTGTCACACACGGTTTTTGATAGGGTCTTCGAGATGCACTTCGAGAAAGATTTGGACAATAATAGTGAAAGGGATTTGGATACATTTATCGATTTCGAAGACTCAGTTGCTTTCATTTTTGAAGTTTTCTTTTTATCAACGCTGGATGTAACAGAAGCGACAGAAGAATTGCTCCAAACATCTGACTCTTCTTCAGCTACTTCTTCATATGTTGGTTGATAGTCGCTTAATGAATAACCTGGCCGCATTTCGTCCTGAAATCGGTAATAGTAGTTTCATCAAGGCCGAATCAAGGGTAGTAATTGGTAGTGGTCACTAAAACCACTTAATAGCATTATAGGGCTTGAGGAACCATTCGATGCGGGTTATTTTTAGTTATTCATTGACAAGCCAGGTGCTAATACTATAGTGGTGAAAATAAATTTAGTTTTAAGTTTAATAAAACAATATTACCTTAAAGAAAGTATTACCATTAATTTAAAAAAAAATGTACCTACACTATCCATACATATCCATCTTACGGCTTTTTTCTTGATATAACAGCCTGTTATATTTAGGCTAGTGTCTTAAGTTACTTATTTCGCTAGCTTTCTATACTGTCCTTGAATCTTACAATTATAAAAACTCTTCGGTTTAGGGTACTTCTTAATCCTTCTTCGGCAAATCAAATTTCTTATGCCTTTCCTACGTAGTTGATCCCTACCAGCCTTCCCACTAACTTTACACGATTTCGTTAGCATTAAAAAAATTAGTAATAATATCTCACACACGGCCGCCTGATCCCTGCTAATAAACATACTTATATATTTTTAAATACATACATATCATAGACAAATTATACGCTCCGTCGCTGAATATCAGGAATTAATATATAAATAATAGGTAATAAATTAATAACGCTGAATTTTTTGGAGCCCAGTGTACTTTTTCACCTTTTAAAAAAATATGATGTTTAAAGAATGTTGTGTTTTGCGAATGTGGTATAAGATTATGATATTTTAGGAATATGATGTTATGAGAATATGATGTTTTGCGAATGTGGTCTTTTAAGAATATGATATTCAGCGACGAAGCGAAATTACACCCAGACACGGCAGTGATGCCACGGCCTCAGAAAACCGGTGTTAAGCAATTCTTTCGTTGCCTTGCACTGATTGAGTGAGGTTACCTAAGCCCAAATCCCCCCTCAAGCTTGCTCGAGCGGGACTTTTGAGTTGCAGGTGTCCATCGGCGGTAGTAATTGCTTACCATCAGGTGACCCGTCTGCTCGTTTGCCCCTTATACCATAAAAACAAGATAGAACAAATGACCGTGCTCATCACACAATATTTGTCCTGTATGGGAATCGAACCCACGACCTCCGGCTTAGTAGTCAGTTTTACTAACCACTAGACCAATTTATAATTTATAATTATATAGAAATTTGAACTTACCCCACTTTCCCTATTTTCATAAAATTCTTCTGAGGGTATTATGGAACTTAACTCTGGTTGCGGCACGTATTTAGTAGCTTCGAGGGGAAGATCAAATATTTTCGCAATACGACGAAATAACACCGGTCCCACCAAGTCCCGTACAGTATCAACTTGCGTCTCCCAGAACTGCAAACAGACCCTAATTATAGATGATGTTATGTAGATGTAGTAATTATATAATATATATAAAAAAAAAAAATTCATTTCCATTAACTCAACTTAATCTAATTACAAAAATTGACAGAGCACTCCTTTTAGATAAAACATTGCCTGAGTTAGGAAGCTCCGCTTTTCCATATATAAGTAAGTAGGTATAGTGATTAAAATATAACAAGGTGATCATACTTGGTGAATACAAAGAAGAAAAAAACTATAATGTTATGATAACGTGAAGAGCAGATCTGTCTGTATGTTAGTATGATATCAGTGTAGGTGTGTGTGTGTCTGTGTATATACATATAATGTGTTTGCGCGTGTGTGGGTGTGTTTCTCTCTGTGTGTAGTTCCTTATCTTAATATTGCCATTAGAGATTCAGTTTCATCATAAGTTACTGTTGTTGCAACGATTTTGTATGAGCTTTCTTGCAATTTTGCTTCATGTTTAAAAGTATTTTTTCTTTTATTATAAAAAAGAACAAATGCCTGGTATACTGGTGACAAGCCAATGTACTTTTATTATAATTAAAAAGAAAAACGAGTAATTCGGTGATAGGAAAACAGTTTTATCGTACAGTTTAATATTAAAATCTTTTTTTAAATAATAATATTTGTAATCTCAGCGAGATTTCTATAATAAGTTATCTGTTTTTTTATAAATACGTGTATTTTTTTTGCACTCCCAAATTTATATATATATATATAAGCAAGGACAACAAATTCACATATGACATTCTCGCGAAACAGGAGCAGTACCATTGTTGGAGAGTAAACTTAAAAATTTAGGAGGCGTTTTGGGCAACAGTAGCGTTGCACCAAATTAGGTTGTGTAATGTTTGTTTGTTTGACATACTCAAAATAGAGTGGGGCGTCAAAACATATTTTATTTACAATTTTGAATAGTATTGACAGGGAGCACTGCATTATGAAATAAATGAAAACAAAAGCTTATTTTAAAAAATGCTCACAATTAACGGAAAAGGATTGTTCAAGAATTTGTTAAGATTTTGCCATAACTTTAATTTGAAGAATATTTTAAAACTCTTTTACTCCATTAAATAAAAGTTTCAGTTCATTAAATAAATGTTGAAGTGTTACTTGTACCTAAAATATTTTAAGAATTTTATTTTCATAACGTAATGTACAATTTCACAAATGCAATTTTTGTTACAAGTTTTGTATCATTGCCGTAAGGGCTAAACATGTTTGTATATTTACTAGCTCCTGCCAACGGCTTCGCTCGCGTTAATGTCTACTTTGACAATACATTTGGCCGGGATAAATAGTAGCCTCTGTGCTGTTTTAGACTATAATCTAATCTCGTCCAGCTCCAGAAAGCCGCTTTGGTGTGATTGAGAAGCCCAAAATCGATCTAAGTGGCGTGCAATGGGAGAGGCCTATGTCCATCAGTGGACTGCGATAGACTGGATGATGATGATGATGATGAGTAATAGACAAAGGTACTTAGGTACGTTTTGAAAAGTAAATGAAACAGGTGTCTAAATATTATTATTATTTTTGATAGAGAATATAATTATACTGAGTTTGGAATCGTTCTGTAAAAAAAAAAAATCCCATTCAAACTTGCGCCCCTTTTCAAGGGTAGTTTTGAATTTATTTAACAAGTTTTTACTGTGACTTTGAAAACACTGCTACCAAAAATAATGAAGTTTCATTTACATTTCCAACCCTCATTTTGCACCCTTAAGGGTGGAATTTAAAAAAGTCCTTTCTTAGTACTTCGTCACCTAAGGAATATTTTTGCAAAATATCATGCTTCTAGACCCAGCGGTTTCAGCTGTGCGTTGATTGATCAGTCAGTGAATCAATCGTGTCAGTTTTTTCTTTTATACTCGTAGACATAGATATTGGGCAAAGTGTTACCTTTTATGTGTTTTCACATGTTAATGAAAAATGAAAACAGTTCATACAATGGTACATCCAGTTAGTATTCAAAGAATGATCACCTGTCTATCTGGTACCTCTAATTAACGTTGACAGCACGAACGGCGTAATGGTTTAAGCTGTCACCTCGCCGCATCCTACTACGCTGAGTGTCGTGGGTTCGATCCACAAATTGAGTTGTGTCCGTGTCATGTATGTTTGTGAAGTCTTCAGCGACACATGATATATTCCTATTGCGGGAGTTGTCTTTTTAAATAAAAAAACGTTTTCATACTTAACGACTGCGTGAATGTTTTCTATCTATCAATACAATCTTCTTTATAAATTGCAGTACTAGTGAGCTTAAAAACGCGTTTTGCGTTTATAATGAATAGTGTTATATGTGTTTATATATTCTCAAAATCATACATTAAATGTAAATTACTAACTTGAGAATGATCACGTTTAAATTTCGCATACATATGAGGTTTAGCGCGATTACGGGATATGATATGTATATTTATTATATATGTGCTATTACGAGTATTAAAAGGTTTTATGAACCTTTAACACCAATATCACCTAACTAGGCGTTTGGCGGAAAAAATAAAAGGAAGATATTGTACCCATATTAATTTTATAATTTTACCGCAGTAAAAAAGTAAAAAAAAAATAATACACAATAAATAATGTATATAAAGTAATATTTGTGTTCCAGTGTCATTATACCAAGGAATGTATGATTCTTATAAAAATTACTAGCTTTTCCTCACGGCTTCGCTCACATAAATGATAATTTAGTCAATAAATTTGACCTGGATAAATAGTTGCATCTGTGCCATTCTAATCTGTGCTAAAGAAATGTACACTTATGGGACGTGTACATTTCTTGCTTTTATGTTCGAGCAGCAGTATGTGTTGCGTTGATTTTTGTTGTTCCAAGTATCATCATTAATACTAATTTCACAAAGACAAGGGCCTCGCAACGGTCTACCTGCCCCGGGTCTCTTAATGTTTTACCTGTCCAGGGCCTCGCAATGGCTAAGGCCGCCACTGTTTAAAATACGTCCGTAAAGTTTAAAAATTCACACTAAAATTCAATGTCAAGTAATTATAAAACTAACTAAGTATAGTTACCTGATCATCTTTATAAGAATCTTCTAAAGATTTGATAACATTTTTCCAATGTCTTTTAACAGAAGCTTCGTTTTGCTCGTATCGAGACGGCGTGATAACCCTTAATTTTTTTGGTTTATCCCAAAGTTTTACGAGAGGACGCTTTCCGCAGGACATGGCTAGCTAATTGATATAGGCAGGCAAGTCCTTTGATCTTAATGTAATATCCACAAAGCAATGCAGTATAGAAATGACAAATAAAATTTTAAGTAAAAAATATTTATCTTCTTTATTTACAATGACAGCAAAATGACAATTTAATGAAACAGGTTCCAGTTAATGCGTTTAAAACTAAGAAGTGGCGAATAATTTATAGTGGTTATTGTTGATGATCTACAATAAGACGCACAGTTGTTTAAACTAGAATTATACAAACATTGAAACATTTCATTAATTCACATAACCTTTCATAGGAATCGAAATATGGCACATACATATTAAATCCATTTAGTGTCAATAAGTAATAATCGGATATTATTACTCAACAACCGCAAACTTTATATTAGTACATTTTTAATATAAAAAAGTGAAACTGTGAAGTAAACTGCATTGCACAACACGCCCTCTGTTAGTACAATTTGATACTAGGGGAAAGATTCGTAGCCATAGCATCGGTTTGTTAAGTAACGAAAGAACCTAGTTCAAATGTAGCAAGTTTTGAAATAAGTAGTATGCAGAGAAAATCATAGATGGCGCAGAAACATTTTTTTAAATGTTTTTGGTTCCTAGAATTCTGATGTAAGAAACCCTCTTACTGTAACTATCCTATGTCTAAATTTTGTGGGTTTTACAGTTTCTAGATTTCTTCTCAGAAACTTCCAAAAAAAGAAACAAGCAGTACACCGGCAGATAGGAGTGTTGTGAAATGTTCTCTCAACGAAAACAACATACCTAATATATTTAAAAACTTACTACTAGTAATATACAATCAATATAAAAAAAAATACTAATCCTTACGATCGCGATTAAATACTTTGATTGATAGATGAATGATTATTTTCCAAGATACTCAGCGTCTTCAATCGTATCAGGTACCTTTAGCCCCATGGTTTCGGGTTGCGTGAGTACCAAAAAACCAGATATTATTGCAGTAACTGCAAACATTATTGATGGGATCCCCGACCAATACACCATCAAAGCTGGAGTAAGAGGGGCTATAATGGAACCGATACGTCCCAACATTGAAGACCAACCTAAAAACGAATGTCTGTTTCTTGTTGGATATAGTTCAGCCGTAAAGAGGTACAATGATGTCATCACTAGACCTATACAGTATTTTCCAGTTAAATATAAAAGTAAAGATACAATATAATTATCGTTTGGGACGAAAGCAAATGCTATACAACACGCGGAACAAATAAAAAATCCAAAGCATAATGTAATTCTTCTACCTATCCTGTCTAGTAATAAAACAGCGGTCCAAAAACCAGGTATCTCAATTGCTGCTGTTGCAATAAAATTAAGGTATATATTACCTGATAATCCAACAGAATTAATGGACAATCCGTAATAAATGAAGGTTGTTGTCATCCAAAGAAACGGTGTTGTACAGCATCGACGGAGGAGAACAGGCGACTTAATAACACGGTACAAAACACTGTGCTCATTCAAATGTTTTTGGGCTTCCATCTGACGAGGTATTGCTGTTAACAGAAAGTTCATGCTTTCATCTGAAATACGCTTTCCGTTTAGTCGAGCCGCATACTCTAAGGAGGCTCTTCCTTCCTTTTGCTTATTTTTGCTGAGCAGCCATCGAAAACTTTCATTTCCTATCCAGTAGTACGATACAGCTAAGAAAACTGGCACATACAATACTAGTGTCAGTGTTCTCCATGCTGGAATTAGAAAAGCAATTACACCTAATATGACTTGACCCATGGCAAAAGTAGAAGAAATTGTTGCGCTCGTTTTAACTCGGAACTCTGGACCCACTATCTCGGATGCTAAAATGTATACTGCACTGAATGCACCGCCACCTATTGCCGTTTGTAAGAACTGTAGCGCTGCATACATCGCCAAATTGACCGAAAATGCTCGTATCACTCCAACTAAAGCAACATTCAAAGAAAAAAATACTATTGATATTTTGCGCCCTAAACGGTCCGATACAAAACCGGCCAATATGAGGGCAACCATTCCTCCGGCACTATTTAACGTTCCAGGTAAGGCCCTTAGCCATTCCTGGCACTCTAAATTAAAGTCGTAAACAGCGGTATTAGTTCTCTCATGTACATAACTATCACAAGAAATTGTCTTATTTCTATTAAACAGGATAGCGGGACAAATTTCGTCAGTACCCGGTGTTAAAGTTGACTCGTCGGTTACATTGACGTAGCGATTACAGCTGTCTAGTCCAGATGCGGTGCTTGGAACGGCGTTTGCTATCCACTGTGGTAAAAATTCTGGTTCAGGATAATCGCATTCGGGTATTACACAGCGATAAGGCAGACGGCCTATTGTAAATATGTAATCAGTTGCCATAAAACCACATATAAGCGAGGAAAAAGATGCCAGAGCTATTGTAATCAGCTGAAATTTTCCGAATTGGCCCACTTCACGATATAGCACAGTTTCAAATTCAAGATCACAGCCACTTTCGTTAGACTTTTTATCCATGTCTGATGTTTTTAATGTTTTAGTTCACTCTTGATAACATCAAACTACTTCTAGTTTTATATAAGCCGAGAAACGATTCTTATCAAAAACACTAATAAATCTTATCTCTGTATCTAGAACTGCAGTTAGGTAGTCAGATAACTATCAAATATTTATTATAACATTTGTACTTTGTACCTGTACCTTAAAGATTTTTCTGTAGTAATCAAAGATCAAAGTTTCCAGGTACGAAACCTATTTCATTCAATAATCCTCAAGATTTAATAAACTGCTAAAAAATAAGCTATTTTGGAACTCAACTGTTATATCCTTAACTGCAGTATTTATAATGATAACTAACAATATTTGCTTGCATTTTGAATATATCTGTATTCAAAATGCAAGTTAATATTGTTAACATGTTCATCAACATTGTTCAATATTAACATCAGTAGCAATTAATAATACAAATGCTCGTAACTAAATTCACTGACTAACGTTAAAAGTTGAGGGTGTTTTTGAAACTATAAAATAGTTTATGGTTTCAAATCTACCCTCAACTTTCAGTGACTACTAGTTACTAGTACTAGTTTAAAAACATAATTAATCGAAGCTAGAGCGCATAGAAGGATAGTTTCATAAAAAAAACGTCAAATTTGAGGCAAAAATAAGATTGATGTAGGCTTATTTATGCTTGGCGACACACACACTAGCGCGATAGCGTACAAGTAATATTGCTATCGGTATCAGATTTTCCACAAAAGTAGGGAAATTGGTACTGCTACTTCCTTAAATCCTTAGAGGTTTCTGCACTCACGATAGCCGATGGGACTTCAGACACCATTTCCAAGGTCTGGTCCCCAAGTTGGTTGGAGCAGACCGTGCATTAGCGCGGCTGCTGCCCAACATGAGGGGACCAGATGACTCCTGCAGGAGACTCTCTCTACTCGGGGGTTGTGCGGTCCATAGCTCTTTATGGGGTCCCAGTATGGGCGGAACTTAGTTCAGTTCTCGCCGCGAATTCTCCTTAATGTCTTCTACCGATTGAAAACGGGTGCCACGAAGTGGTAATTTGAGTTTAGGAAAAAGAAAGAAGTCGGCTGGAGCCATATCTGGTGAATGTGGTGGTTGCTCGATGGTATTTGTTGAGTGTTTGGTCAAAAATTCGTTCACAATGATATCCTTGTGCGAAAGCGCATTATCGTGGTGCAAAATCCAAGAATTTTTTTCCACAAATCTGGCCTTTTCGTCGAATTTTCTCTCTTAAATGCCGCATAACGCTTTAATAATATTCTTTATTTACCGTTTGACTTTCCGACAAGAATTCCAAGTGCACAACACCGCGATAGTCTGACTTTCACTTTTCATTGACTTTGGCGTGGTTTTTTCGGTTGCGGTTCAGTTGGAAGGTTCCGAAGTTCCGAAGCTTGTTGACTAGTTTGCATTTCAAACTCTTAAACCCACGTCTCGTCACCAGTAACAATGCGTTTCATGAATATTGGGTCGGAATTGACTCGTTCTAGCATGTCCTCAGGGACTCTCATGCGATTGAGATTTTGGAGAAAATTCAAGTCTTTTGGGACTAGACGAGCGGTAACATGTTTCATACCAAAATGTTTAGTTAAAATGCTACGGATCGACTCGTGAGATACAGAAAGTTTGGCGGCTATCTCTCTCAAAGTTGAATGAGTATTTTCAGTCACTATTTCCTTCACTTTTGCGATGTTAACTTCAGTTGCAGACGTTGATGGCCTACCAGAGCGAGGCAAATCTTCCATCACATCTCGACCACTTTTGAACGCTTTGTACCACTCATAAGCACGTGTTTTTGATAAATTCGGTTTGATAAATTGGTGGTCACATCTGCAACCAGCTTTGGTCAATCGGTCGTCCCCACTGCTCCTTCACGACAACGCGCGACCCCATACTGCGCAACAGACAGTCTCCAAGCTGCAAGAGCTGGGGTTGGAAGCTCTCCCTCATCCGCCATACTCACCAGACCTTGCACCTACCGACTATTACTTTTCCAAAATTTACACAACTTTTTAGTGGGTAAAAAATTCAATTCCCGAGAGGCAGTACAAAATGCCTTTGAAGAGTTTGTTGCCTGCCGTCCAGCTGATTTTTACAAGAAGGGCATCAATAAACTGCCAATGCGTTGGCAAAGATGCGTCGATTGCATGGGTGATTACCGGGGAGTACCTGAATCGGATTGGACGCGAGGAGACGGCACAATGCCAGCACTGCGCAGCCGACTGGGACTCCGCCAAGCATACGCTGGAAGACTGCCCCGCGTGGGCGTCTGAACGCGAGGTCCTGGTCGACCAAATCGGACGAGACCTGTCCCCGCCAGCAATCATTGCTGCCATGCTGGCGGGTGAGGGGAGCGGGGCATTACAGCTTCACAGAAAGAGAACCCTTAACGGGATCGGGAGAGGGCCGATCCCGAACGTAGAGGACGTCGGCGGCGATATCAGCCGTGGACGGGAATGGCCGGCCTGATTGCAATAAGATGCGATCGGGCCGCCATGCCGCGATTGAAGGGGGAAGTGTTCTCCCCTGGGATAGAGCCTGATTAGGCATGGTATCAATTCGGGGAGGACCTGAAATAACATGGTCCGGGTCCTCCCCAGAGTAGGACACTTAAGGTCGGCCGTCGGGGTGGTTTTTAGTGGAATCACCACATACTCCTGGCTCCTGAGTCCCCGAGGAGCAGGAGATCCGAAACCACCCCGTCAACAAAAAAAAAAAAAAACTGCATGATACATACTCGCACGATAGAGAATGCAGAGTGCAGCTACATCTCTACCTAACGCCAAGGAGTCAAACCGATCGGAACTATTCTGGCGCTCGATGATTCAAATCGTTCTTTATTAAATGCGGTCCAGAGGGAGAAACTGGTAGTGCAGTGCTCCTGTAAAGAGATGGGAATAGTGTTCCAAATGCGGCCGAACTTTCGCCTAATAAAGTTGCAGGCGATGAGTCTCGAATAGGCACCCCAAACTCCTACGAGGATAACTTGACCTTATTTATAGGTATTGAATTGTATGGAAATTTCTACACAGTAAAAAAGCATTGTGTAATTATTTTTAAGTTCTTTATTTGCTGAATGTTATGTAACATTATATACGACTATTTAAGATTCAGCTAGTTCGGACAATTTCCTGTGTAAAAGATCAATGGGTGTAGCAGTATCTAGGATATCATGCGGAGTGACTGCCGGAGGAGTGAGGTTGCACTCTGCCTCGAAGGTTAGCCTCGCTTCCAAGACGGCAGGATCAAATAGGCCAAGGCTAGTCAGGTATGGTGCACGCCGATGCTCCGGGTGATCGATCATCCAACGACAATATTCTTTAACGCTTCTGTAAACATCAAAATCCAGCTGTATCACCAAATACCGTAAAACTATTAACGGATTTAAAAAAAAACCTATTTAACTGACTTAAGGGGGGAGAAACCGGTTTAGGAGGCCGAAATTTTGGAGTTTTTCGTGATTTTTTTACATTTGGGAAGGAATAATCAGAAATTGTTTAAACTTGGAGTGTATTTTATTCATGTTTTGAAGTACACTTTAGAATTTTTTCAAGTAATTTCCGCCGGAAATAGTGGCGTTAGAACGTGCTGTCCATGAACGATTAGAATCCGAGTATTTTGCTGGTGGTCTTTCATTCATCAATTTCTGAAGTCACAATTTTTATCTGTAATCATCACAATTTTAATTTATCGTTAACAACATAGTTTCTAAGAATATGAACCTAATTGTGATAAAAAAAATTGAAATTGCATGTTTTTGAGGTATTCGAACACAATGTCATGTTTAATGAATTAATTAATTACAAATTTACAAAGTTTTACCTTTTTTGAATAAAAAAATATAAATTTTAATAATAATCCCAGAATTAGGTTCATATGGATTGGAATCGAATAAAGAATATTCACAACAAATTTCAGAACGATTGGCCAATAACTTTTTGAGCTAGAATGCCCTTCAGAAAAAAAAATAGTTTCTAGAAAAACGCGTTTGAAATAAAATGTAGCTTCGGCGCCGAACCGACGGGCGGTCACTTAAGTGCTCATAGCATCGGAACTTAATTTTTCTTTTTAATTTTGACCACAATATTCTTGAGTATCAACTAATCAACTAACAAGTTTTAACTGGTTTCCCCCTTAAAAGTTATGTTTAGTTATTTTCAGTAGTTTAAATACAGTGTAATATTTAAATTTTGTTTTTCTGATTTTGATTAAAAAAACACAATAATCTTAAAATTTCTCAATGTCATTTTTACTCAAATATTAATAAACTCGGTGAAATGAACTGTGAGCAAACTAATATCGTGTGAACAAATTACGGCAAACCAATGATTAAAAAGTATATATCAATATTGTATGGGTGTGCGCCGACTCAATTCAGATAAAAATGCGCGTTACCATGTAAAGTACTTGAATAAAACGCTTGTAGTGAACATGTTCTTAGGATTTAATAACAGTGTAAGGGACAAAGTCTTTCACAAATAGTCTTAGAGAAAAATAAAAAGAAATGTGCTGAAAAAATACTAAGCTTAAATAGTTTAAAAATAATTTGTTCTAGGAGGAATGTGATTATTTATAAGAGCGATGCTTATAATCACATAATCACGCCAGTGAAACTAGGACAGAAATCTAATTGAAATAATTCAGTACCATCAACGTTTATGCATCCTGGATAAAATCTATACATAATTAGAAAAAAAAACAGATATAAAAGAAATTGTTGGCAACATACTAATATAGCTATCTCTTTCAATTACTCATTGTTATAAAATGATTACTTTATCATTTTTCCGTGTACAATACAGCACACGTTGTCTAAATATTAATTTTAGTATTACTTGCTATCATAAAATACTGCTATTATAAATGAATCGTGAACATCATGTTATATTTAGGATATCTAACAACCTTATCACTCTTTTTATTCATATAAATAATTTCAATATCTGTATCTTTATAACGAATGTTTCAAAAAGAATTACTCAACAGACTGCCCTGTGCAGATTTAGGCGCACGAAAAATGCCATCAGCGTCATCATCATGAATCTGACATTTTCCGATATAACGAATTTTTGAAATAGAATTACTCAGCATTTTCTGCACTGCATTTTCTAAATATGCACAGGGCAGACCCCTCTGCATATTTAGGCACGCAGAAAATCTATCGTTACTTTATTAGTAGTTAGTACTTTTCATACTAAAGTTATAGTTTTGTAATAGATAATTAATTTTTCATGGTTTCAGTATTTTTTGGCCCGTATCGTATCATATTATTTTTTCATTTTAACTACTAGCGCTACCTAGCGGATTTTTATTGTAGCTTCCTTCATGCAATGAAAATTTAAGTATGGCCCAAGTGTTAGGTCTCAGCTAAATAACAGATATTTAGCTGCGAAAATAAAAATAAAAAAAATTGTAAATTTAATTTATACCTTTAATGGATTAAAGGTATAAATTACATTTGACGTAATAATAAAAATAAAAAGCTTTCTATTTATCGCCAGTTGTCACATCTAATTGAAATTCACCCGTAAGGCCATAACAAAGCGTTTCTACATAGAAATTTAGACATACAAAACTTTTAAGCCGGTTGTCTACAGACTTTTTTTTTGTTGCCTCACTGTTGAGGGTTGCCAATTAAAGAATTAAAAAGTTTTATTTTATAACAAATGATTGCAGTGGAATTTCGTGTTCGTGTTAGTACAATGGGCGAACACATTATACTTACACGTTTTTATAACACTTCTGAACCTTAATATTGTCATATCATTTACTATACTATCGAACTTTTAGGTATGTATATCAGGTAAATATATACTTGTATGAAGCCAAATCTGAACTGCATTTCCATGTTTGCTTGTTTGGTATTGGTTGTCAGTGTTTTTGGATGTTGTGCATACTAGACAAAAATATCTCAGAACAAATAGTTTTCTTTAAGTGAAATTATGCTTATTTATTACTTCCAAAAACTTACGACCTGATAAGATTCTTGAGAACTATATAGTCCTAAAGAATCTGAACTAAAACAAATGTTGTTGAAATAAACGAATATAATAAAGAGACGGCGTGCGATTTCTGGTCGGTTCGAGTCCGACATAACCTGAGATGGGTGGTATCCGAGGGGACTTCTGAACAGGAAAAAAAAGGGTTGATTATTAAGTCGACCGACAAAAAATAAGAAACAAAAAAACATCATTTCTGATGGATTATACTAATTACTACCAAAACCTAACCATTTCCAAGATATTTTACTTTAAAGATTTTTTATAAAAATTGCCGAAATTTTGCCTAATACAATTTTTTCAAACTTATATCCTTTATTTCTTTTTTTACTGTTTTTGTGTAGTTGATACATTGTTTTATAATATCTTATTACCAAAATTGTAGTTAACGTAAGAAACTGGGCCGAAGTAGATGGTTTACAATAGCTAATATTTTTTTTACGAATACAAAAAGAAACTATGACAGTTAAGTTGCAAATTTGTTAAAAAGCATAAACGTATTGTCAGCTATCTAATAAGGTATAAAAGTCTAAGGTAATATCAGAATTCCTAAAAAAACTTAGATGAAAGACCGGGAGTATTAAGAATTAGCGTACAACAGGTAGTAGATACTCAGTTGAAAAGTTGGCTAGTGTTTTTGAACTCTTTGCTTTTCTATTCTTGACTAACTATTGCTAACTGGACTTTGATTTGTGCTTCAATGAGTAAGTCCTACACGTCATGACATACGGAGCCGAAAAGTGGACACTGCTGCTGGTTCACAAGCTTAAAGTCGCTCAGTGTGTTTTGGAAAGGGCTATGCTTGACGTGTCGCTAAGGCCGCGTGCGTGGGTTCTCTGGACACGCGCGCTAGCGTCTTGTAGTCGTGATTGTGATCGTGAATCGTGTTTGTACTGGGAGCAATAGAACAGAAGGAAAATATATTAACATTGTTTAGAGAAGAAGTGGCAGATGAACTTTTGATGTTATCAAAGAAAGGAAAAAACTAATTCAATATTCATAAAATCACCGATCCACATGAATTGTTGTATAAAATAATTAACAATTCGTAATTTTCACCATTAAAACTCATTTTAGTCTAAACTAGCCCGTCGCTATGGTACAAATATGATACCAATCGGCGCGTGCGGCGTGCAATCTTGTCCGGGAATCGCAATCAGATCGATCGAATGAGGTGATCAGGCAGAGAACCAAAGTCATGGACATAGCCCACAAGATTAGCAAGCTAAAGTGGCAGTGGGCTGGCCATATTACCATTAACCGTTGGGGTAAACGAGTCCTTGAGTGGAGATCGCATCTAGACAAACGTAGTGTAGGACGCCCACAGGCCAAGTGGAGTGACGATTTGCGCAAGATGACTGGCAGGAGCTGGATTCGAGAACCCGAAAATCGATCGAAGTGACGTGCAATGGGAGAGGCCCGTATTCAGCAGTGGACTGCGATAGACTGGTGATGATACCTAATAATTACCTTTGCGATAAAACAATGTTAGGTATAAGTAAAAACAAAAAAATACAGACATAATTATTTATACCTAAAACATAACTAACAAGATGAGTTAGTTGTGGGAGAGTCATGCCTCGGCACATACGGGCCAGGCTCGACCGGAGTGACAGCACAACCTTACAGAAAATCTGTGTTAAGCAGTTCTTTCGTTGCTTTTCACCAAGTGAGAGAGGTTACCAGAGCCCTAATCCGCCCCCTTTCCCCTGATTCTGGGTGCAGGGACTGAAAGTGTGGCAATGCACTGGTAGTGCAGAGGTACCTTGCAGGTGCATTCGACACGTCTGCTCACTTGCTCCCATACCCCATAAAATAGATACTTACCGTACTTACAAAATACTTACCGTAGGTTTGTAATGCCTTCCCATACAGTTTTAAGAGTGACAAGATCTTTCGGTACGTGACGCGCCGACCGCCACATTTCTTTCGTCTTATTCTTCGGTCCGTGGTACTGATCTTTCATAGGCAGACTCTGTCCAAACGCCGTGACTAGGTCTTTACGCTCCTGTGCCCTGATATCCTTTGTTATTTGTCGCTCTAAAGCTGCAGTACGGGATTTCTGAAATAATTTCCTTTAATAAATTCACTTAATAAGTTGCAACTGCCTCCAGATTCTTTCTGCACATGTGCATTTGTTTGGGTTTTTATTAACTGTTATAATATTTTACACAAAAAAATTATAATTTTAATAAAAAACATTCTCTCATTTGTTTAGGTACTACCTAAACAAATGAGAGAATGTTTTGAATTTGCAACAGTTACGGTCATTGTTTGTATAATTCTGCCCCTTCTTTGAACATATCTAACAAATCTACTGAATACATAAACATATCATAGTTACCTGTATAAAACTTACAAATAAAAACACATTTAAATGACAATGTTTGAGTAAATTTGAAGTTCAAGTACCTGTGGATGTCCAATCACATTGCATACTTTATCATGAACACAAGGCAGCTCCTTCGGCTCTACGCGCAGACTTTGGGCAACGTGAGTATCGAATTCAATCTAGAAAAAATAGGCTAATGTACTGCGTTTGCTTTGTAATATGAAATAACAAAAATAATTATAGATAGTGTACTGCAAATGTATGTTCAAAATGGATTGCTACATAAGAATTTAGGTTTATAATGTCACAAAAGAGAAAGCCGTTACACGAATCAGATATGTACTAAAAAATTTGCCTATTTAACTTAATTAACCCATTTAAACCTTAGCCTAAATTAAATTGACCAAGTGTAGAAAATAAGTAGATTTCTATTTATTATTATAAACAATCTTTGTAAATCTTTGGAGCACTTATTATATTAAATGTCACTAACTTCACAAACGCTGTCATAATATCCATAGAGCTTCCTAAGCTAAGAATATCGATAAATTGGAACTCGATTTAACTCGAATTATTTTAGTAGGTATTAAAATCATTGTACACGTAAAACAAAAAATCTAAAATCGAATTGATACTAATCTTTTTTTAAATAATGAAATAAATAAATAATCGATAAAATCTATTACAACAGGGATTCAAGTAGTAAATATCTGTCAACTGTCATTATGAGATTCGCTTTTCATATTTAATTGCGCAAGTGAATGTGTTTTGCCCTATTTCTAGAGATTTATTATTTTATAAGACCTCTGCTCGACTTCTGGACTCCTAAATTGATTAGGTGTATTTCGTTTACATATTAATCGACAGCACTACAAGTGGAAGGGATGCTATAATCCAATCGTCCAATCCAAATTGCATCTTTGGCAAAAGAACGGTTGGTTGTTGTGCCCTATGAGCATAATATGGTATCTTAGTTGGGCACGACACCAGTGTAGTCGGTAGCCTCCTGCACAATTTGTGGATACTGTATTATTATATTATGATAATCCGAATGAAGAAGGTGATTGATAAAACTATTTATTACAATTGATTTTTTTATTTCTTCAAAATATATTATTATTGTAATCTCAGATCCAGCCAGTAGTGATGTAAATGGGTCTTGTTTAATAAACATAGTTTTCAGCTCAGGTTTTCAGTAATATCAATCAGATAAATTTGAAGTCACCACTTAAGTACTTTTTATTTACCTAAAACCTTATCGTGATAGTCTGCAATCGCTGCAGCATAGTGCATGTGTTTTTCAGATAGGGAGCCAAAACATATCATTTTCAAAAAATAAAAAGAACTTAAAATGTAAACATTGTCTGACATTACCAATGTGGCCAGTGCTGGGAGACGTGAAAATTGGGCTCACGAAACCTTCCTAAGTGCTCTAATTTATGGTCAAATTCCAGCCCTGTAACGTCACTCTCCCTGTAACTCTTACGACACCCACTGGATGAATAGGGATGGTCACATTCCGTATTCTTAATCCGTCACCACACGGACATTACAAACAGACACTTTAATTTTATTTATTTGTATAAATGTAAAAGTGAGTTTGTTTCTTACGTTTCGCTTAAACCAATTTTAAACCGATTTTAAAAATTCTTCCACTAATGAAAAGCTACATTATTAGCGCGTAATATAAGCTACTTTTTACCACGACATCCGACATACACCCGGGCGGAGCCGAGGCCAAAAGCTTGTAAGTTATTAATTAAATTTAACAAGGAATAATAAATTGGTTTATAAGGTTTTTGATAGCGTAAAAATGGGTTATGTGTGACCTCTTGCTGTTTTGGTCTTTTAAGTGCATTACTTTTAAATTGTCTTTGATTGTTTTTGTTACTTGCTTTATAATTTTCGAGATATGCCTAATGCAAGTCGACATGATATTACATTTTTCACACGTCATTAAAAAAGTAATTAAATTGTGATTTTTAATTTATAGTCTAATGGTTAATGGGTAATGGTTTTTATACAAACTTAAACTATATTTTTCATCAGAATAAGCTCTTTTTGTTTTTTTTTAATGATAGTAATAATAATTTATTTATAAGAGTAACTGAGACTCATAGATGTTAGAAACAATTTGAACTTACAGCTATATTAGTACGTTTTATAAATTAAGGTTATAAAATTAAGGTTAGACTCATTGCCTCGCAGTAACAATGTTTAACAATGAATCCCGATTTTTATTCGGCTAAACATTCTTCAACAACCTTAATGACCGAGCTTCGCTAGGTTTTTATTTTTTTGGTAAATTTTCTTAAAATGAAACCTAGCTTGATCGATTAATCGCCCCCGAAACCCCCTGCATACTATCCGCCTTTGCCAAGATTTGAATTGCTCGTTTAAATGCTTTAGATACCGTACTCTAAATAATAATAATAATAATAATATTCTACCACATACACACAACGCCATCTAGTCCCAAACTAAGCAGAGCTTGTACTATGGGTACTAGACAACTGATATAAATACATATATACTTTTTTTTTGTAAATACATACAATATTATACATAGCAACACCCAGACCAAATCAAACATCAAATGTTCATGCACACAAATGTTTGACTTGAGCGGGAATCGAACCCGCGACCTTTGGAATAGCAGTCCGTTACACAAACCACTACGCCATCCAGTCGTCCAAAGACTCTCTAAAGACACTCTAAAGAAATTAAAGCACACTATACTGTACTCATAATTAGGCAATAAAGTAAACAACCATCGAACTTATATATATACACTAACTTGGAATAGTTCCTTGATAGCTTTGGGTGTAAACAGTTGAGATTGTTGGTCCCCGCCAAGTTGTTTCATGTATTCGCAGAACTCGTTAGCAATCTGCAAAGGATGACAATTTTATGTGTAAAATATGTTGAATATATTCATGAATATTCTTAGTTTAAATTTTAAAAAATGTAAAGTTGGGTTGTGTACGCTTTACAAACTCAAAAAGTTCTGCACCAAATGAGCTCAAATAACACGAAATACAAACCGCTTAAAGGATTGTTTTCACCTGTTTTTCGCGAAAAAAATTTGTTTCTTTATTTTCATCAATGCAATTTCAATGTACCAAACCGAAGCGTGGCAGGATACAGTTGATTTTCAAAATCTTAATTTTCATGGTACAGGGGCAAACAAGCAGGCGGATCATGGTAAGTGACTACCACCGCCCATTTTATTAAGACATGAAAGTAGAAAACCTCTGTTCCTGAATGAAAAACTTGAGTTGTAGAATAAATTAAGTGACTCTTAATGTTACTTCCATCGCTTTTAAAATCGCAACACGTTTTAAATAGGATGTTAATAGTACCCTGTCGGTAAGATCATTAGCCTTCTTAACTAGACTCTTCTCGTCTTCTCTCTCTGGCTGCAAGTAGTGAGTGTCCCATGTTATCTGCTCCCGCTCTGGTTTACTCAATAACTCTTGGTGAATGTTTGGCTTCTCGTCGTCATCGCTGAACATTAGTATGAATATTAAATTTTTACATTAAATGTATAAATACTCTTACTCTTTATCTTTACAAATACCATATTGTAATATTAGTTACAGTAACAATGTATAAGTACAATCAAGTAAACACTTTCAAACGAGAACTCTATCAAAAGGATTCTTTCCACCTGAGCTCAAGCAAAATTATTTATCTGTTATTTACTGTGGCATGCGTTATCGCTGATATAACAGAGTTCAAAAATACATCGTACTTGATAATTATGGCATGTAAAATTGATTAATTGAACTTACCTGACAATAAACATTTACCTTACCCTTAACCATTAAGACCCTAACGAGACATTATATCCCTTAAAATAAGGATAATTTGACACAAACCCTATTACAGCCCGTCTGGCCAGCGTGGTATAGTAGGCCAAAACCTGCTTTTAAGGAGAGGCCTATGTCCAGCTTTGGCCTGTTAAGGGCTACTGATGACTGCCCTTAACCATTAACGCGCCTTACGTTTACATTTCGACTACCGGACACGTCAGACTACTCGTATTGTACTGCTACTAAGAATTAGTGTAACTTAATAATAATTAATTTACTCGACCGAGAAAAAAGACCGACAAATATAAGCGCAAACTTCGCTATGGAACCAAAGAAGCAATAATTGTTGAATACATTATTTTAGAACTCTGTTAAGTAAACATTAAACAAAACTTTTTATTAGTGAATTTATTAACCCTTCTTCCCCATTAACCAGTCTGTAGAAAAATTGTACCTGGGCGTGTATTCTACATCAGTGTCTGAATCTAGTTCCTTGTCTATATAAAGGCACTTCCTGTGGGAGATTTGTGGCTCCTTGACTCTGCGCCTTGGTGATTTCACTGTAAAAGTATATTAAAAAAAAGAGAAGTATAAAATTTCTATAAAACAATAGCAACAAAGATATACAAAACGAAAAATGTAGTTATTGATGACAAAACGAACTTCAAAACTAGTCACGCACCTTAAGATTGCACATACGATCGATAGATACGATCGACGACTGGATGGCGTAGTGGTTTGTGTAACGGACTGCTATTCCAAAGGTCGCGGGTTCGATTCCCGCTCAAGTCAAACATTTGTGTGCATGAACATTTGATGTTTGATTTGGTCTGGGTGTTTCTATGTATAATATGTATGTATTTACAAAAGTATATAATAGTATGTATTTATATCAGTTGTCTAGTACCCATAGTATAAGCTCTGCTTAGTTTGGGACTAGATGGCGTTGTATGTATGTAGTAGAATATATGATATTATTATATTATATATATTAATTATTTAATTATTTAATTATACACTATTACAAAAATAGCAGGAGTACAAAATCAATAATTTCTTCATATCTTTATGCATGTAATTATGTACCCAATATACAAGTACTTGTCAAGAAATTTATCTCAATGATATTAATTTCTACGTAGTTATAAAAACGGTCTGCTTAAGTGATTGTTTAACGTTACTCACGTGTCGACTGTTTGAAATTAAATATTTAACAACTACAAACCTTTCAAGCAATTTTTTTCTTCTTGATGGATAGGTTTCAGTGGAATTTTTAAAGTGTTACATACTTTTTGGTACAGATCGTCAGGTAAAACCTCGGCTAACACCTCACTTTCATCTGACTGAAACACGTAATTTAGCTTGAAGCTTTTTTAAGTTGATGCTTGGGGTTATATTTAAGAAACAAGTAAATTAAAAACAAATTCAAAGACAACAGTTAGATTCTTACCAAATTCTTTATCACCTTTGAGATGGCTGTTGTACTTCATAACGCGGTAACGACATAAACAGGCAAAAAAAATCGTTAACAACTTTGTTAAAAAAGCGGACAACAGTCACGATGGACACGTGATGAAAGTGTATAAAGGCATAAATGAATTAAAGTGGTTTAATTCAAGAAATAATAATAAAGAAAATAGAAAATAATACTTACCGCAGATTTATTACAGGAATCAAGGCCTTCGATCACACTTTTCCAATATTTTCTATTAACTTGAACGTATTCCGAGTGCTTGTAGATATCGTTAACCTTCATTATTTTGCGTGGTTGCCTCTTTTCAGTGTAAATACCGTCCATATCCATGTTGTATGTGGTTTGTCAATGAAACCCGCATAGATTTAATAAAAAGCTGTCGGCATGCGCACGGCGCGACGGCCGCGCCGTGTCAAGTGATTTCAGTGTTACCGGTGAATAAATGCTCACTATTTCTATACAGACTTATTAATAAACACAACCGGCATGTTGCTCTTTGCGTAAATATGAATTTTCGTTAGTTTACTTTGCAGTGCACAGTCATATTTTGGTTGTGAACTGAATTAACTACATAGTTCAAGACAAGCGAAGAGTTATACATATGTGATACTTGTGTGCATGGCAAGTTTCACAAGAATAGGATTATTATTTTTTCTAGGTAACCCGCAAGGCAATCAAATGCCAGATCCACTTAATCATAAGAACCTGACGATGAGACAACCTCGCAATAGTATCGTCACACTAAATATCATCAGGCATATCCTCAGAAAGGAGGTTTTGGCCTACTCTAAATATAAGATGGCTTTTTACATTTCCTTGTTATCGTAATGCATGACTAAAATAATAAAACGTAGGTTGTTTTATATGTGCTACTACTTTATAATGGTCTGTCATTAGTGTTGTCAACTCAATTACAATAAACGTTCAACAGTGCTATTGCTTAACACGACATTATAATTATTCATTTACCTATTTATAAATATATTGCAAAATTTTTCATTATATGCTTATTCAAATGTAGTGGATAGGTAGGTACTTATTTTTTTCACAATGTGATCAGTCTATTTGATTATTGGGTATGTACGCTGTTGACTCGTTTCCATGAGCATCACATTAACATGTAGCTTTATCGAATACCATATCTACTTAGTATTCGACATTCGATTTAAACCTTAACTTATAATTATATTAGAATGACTTTTATCTGGCAAGTCAACTTTAAATCTTAATGGTCAAATGTAATTTAAGAAGCAACTAACTACTTTAGTTAAAATTGACTTCATAAGTATTTAAAGAGATTTTTAGTTTTTATTATTCGTTGTCCATATCTTCAGATTCTAGGACGGTCTAGGACGGTACAGAGTATTTTTTTCAAAAAAGGTCACAAAATATTTGTTCATATAGTTCTTAGTAATATCTGTATCTGTATAATATATTAAATAAAAACAACTAGTCTCCTAATAGAGCCTTGGCGAGTCTATTATAACTTTTGAGTTGCAATAGATCAAAACAACCTTTTTTTTAAATCGAAACAATGCAGACAGACATTACTTATGGTTCATCGTAGTAGGAAAATAAATATATACAATATTCCTGTGTATATATTTCAACGCCTAAGATTTAGTAGTGCAGTGGCACAGCGTTTGATCAATAGTTCGGGTTCTCGGTGCTCTATCGATGTATGCTTTTACTATAAATGTAACTGTTACGTTATAGTTAATGCCATGATTCGGATTATATCAGTTGGTGACGCTTTAGAGTTTAACTTTCTAAAACTTCTCTTCTTAGTGCTTATCTAAGATGTTTCTAACAATGTCTGTCTCTCGCATTGTAGCCCATTAGCAAATATAACCATTTCGTTATCAAGGGAGCTAGTTCAATCGGGTTACTTTTTGCGTAATGAAAGAACCCTTATTTTTTACAACGTTCACTCGTATGTGGCTTAGCTTAAAATTTGTTAGTACTAGAAAGTTGTAATTTTGCATGATTATGTATGATTGAGTATACAGGTAAAACAAAATCTTAATAAAATATTTCCAGGGTAGGCACCACCCATAATACCACAAGATATGCGTAAAGTGAGGATGAATTATTTTCTTGTGTGGGATATACGAGACATGAATTCATATATGTGCGATTTGCTCGGATAGAGCTTCCTAAAATATTAAGGTGCCTAAAAAAAGGGTATGCTGCTATGTGTGTCACACAGTCCCACGTTTGGATTTGATGATGAGGGGAAACGAATCCTCAGAAACTAAATGCACAATATGTAGTGTGTATGATGTTTTTTTTTTAAATTAAGCATTGTTAATTTTAAAGTGATGACGTTATTATTAAGCAACTTAACAAAATTGAGGATGTTCTCTCAAATATCAAAGCCATACATCGATGTACGTCACTTACAATTTTGAAGAGAGTGAGCAATTTAAAATGGTAAAGTTTGTCCCGCGGAAAAAACGCGAAGTGCATGAACCATCTACGTACAAATTTGTACACAGGAACGTGCCTCACAGTGCGTGTGAATTTAAAAAACACAAATAAATGGCAGGCATTAAAATGATTGAATCTTATTATATAGGTGACATAATAAAGGAGCTAACCCTTTGATCTGTTTGCAGTTAGTGTCAAGCCCAAAAGGTAATAATTAATTCTTTGATATTAAAAAAAAAAACTTAAGTGAGAATTAAGCGCAGAATACAATTCCCATAAAATAATATAGCTACAAGCATACGGTATATACTAAAACGTGTATATTTATGTAAGTATGTTGAACGCACATTGGTTTATTTAAAATGTATAAAGCTGAATTCAAAGTGCGTTGAAACCACGCTTCTGACATGGGTATACTCGTAAGTAGTTGAAAATAAAAGTATAAGTACAGTAATGGCAAAGGAAACCTACTAGTGAAGAATTACAGCAATCCACGGCAAGCATCTACGGTATCACTATTACTAATCGAATGCTAATACTGCAATACTGAATACTGTAAAAAAAACGAAATTAATTAAATATCTCGAAAACTTGCTTAAAGACAATAGAACTAATTCAAAAGATGAATGAACTCTTTACGTTGAAGTTGGCAAGTTTATTCAGACTGTGCAGTTGTGTCAGATTTCACGGGAACTAGCGCTTAACACAATATTATGGAATGGCAAAACGTCAACTTAGCATAACACTGTTTAACTTCGTCGGCGATAGTAAAATTGGAATAAAAGTTGAGTACAACGGTTATAGCAATGGCTACACTCTTTTATATTTCGATTTTAAGAACTGGTTTATTCCATTTATACAATTGATCTTAAATTGCTAATGTTTTAAAAGAGTAATTAAACTATAATAACGAAAGAAATAAATTACTAATTGTCTATGGGTAAAAAAATTACTTACAACAATTTTTTTTGTAATTGATAGATTAAATTACCCGATGTGTAAACGGAGGAGAGCCAAGCACAAATGGCGGTCAATTTTAGGCTGGATTGGAGTAGTGCCACGGCCTTACAGAAAACCGATGCAATTCGTTCGTGGCTAGCCCAAAAACCACCCCTACCACTTATTATCAAGGGCGGATTCAGGACGGCCACGCACTTGTGCTTCTTGACTTTCAGGTGTCCATGTGTGGCGGTAGTCACTTACCATCAGATGACTTGTCTACTCATATGCCTCAGAAAATATAGTGCCTGCTGATCACCGATACCCTCCTGCTAATAAAAGTTTTTGCCAACTTAGTGTCAAGTTAATTGTAAAAACAACAGTTTACTATTAAGCTTTCGGAATTATCACACATACGAGTACATAGCAAACTCGTTATTAAAATCAACCGGTTCCAATCATATTTAGAACACCAATGCTTTTGATTACTTGAACATTTAATAGTTTACCATGTGAGAGTTAACTAAAAGTCTTAATTAAAACAATAATACCAAGTAATAAGTAGGTAATGCGCAACTAACGTTTGCTCTTAAGACGTATCGATTAATTATTTATCGGCTCTCAGCGTTCTACAAAGTGAATTTCTCGCTACTACCGATAAGTTTAAAGTGAGACGTTTTTGCTGTCGACTGTATTACTGTACAAATTTTAAAGGGTTATTCTGAGAGAAAAAAAATATCTAAGTTACTCCTTATATAGATAGCTACCTAGTAATAAAATATTATCAAAATTGGTCCAGTCGTTTAGAGATTACCAACAACCAAACAAACAGACAGTCAAAAAAATTTTAACTGGTTAATTTTCACTGGTTTTTAGGCATTGGTATCGAGAATGAAAAAAAAAACATTTTTTTTTACATTACAAACAGACACTTTATTTGTTTGTATACTCGTAGATAACACCATGGTTTGCACTAAAAGAAACAAGGAGTCTTAAAGTTATTAAAATAAAGTTAGTAAAATTATTTAAAATGTGTGTGATTACTCTTAGTAATCTCCAGTTTGTAAGGCAGGTAAAAAATAAAGATAATTAAATATGATAGTCTCACTGTGACAGAACCTACAATACTCAAGTATTGTAGGTTTGATGTTGATGTGGGCTCATTATAATTTTGTACCAGTATACATTTATGATTTCAAATTATTTTCAAACACTGCAGTTGATAAGTAAATAATAATAATAATAATAACAATGTACAATACAGTGATGATCTTGTAGCGCTGGAGAAGATGAAAGAGGCAGAAGTTATTCTGCCTTTGAGACATACTTCACCATTCATTTCATACTGTAAGTACATACTATTAGAAAAATATACCTACCGAATATTGGAAAATTTTCAAAATTTGTAAATGCGTCCTTCACTGTCACCACAAGCTTTAAGTTCTAAAGGCGACTTTTGTTGTCAAATAGATGTTACCATTGAGTCTGTTAATTCGAGCGTCAGGAGATAAGACTTGTCTGTAGCACTTTATCAATAAACAAATACTTGAATGCTTTATTATTGTTCGTTGAAGTGTATTGAGTAGAAAATAGATGTACAACACTCTGTTTCAGTATTGACCAATTGAATAGAGCTATAATTTGTACATACTATCGACTCTCTAAATATAAATCTTACTTTGGTATGTTGCAGATAAAGGCGATCCCATGTGAATATTGATTTTCATATAAAAGGTTTTTGTTATTCATTTGATTCACAAATATTTAAGTACATAATGTTTATGTAACTCATAAATATTTGCTTTTAGTCTGGGTGTACTTGCCTTTACAGGTGCTTGATATTTTTATAATAATAATAATAATAATAATAATATTCTACCACCTACACACAACGCCATCTAGTCTTAAACTAAGCAGAGCTTGCACTATGGGTACTAGACAGCTGATATAAATACATATAT